TATATATTTATATACTATTCTAAGAATATAGAAATATTACTTTCCTAAAACTATAGTATTTTAGGAGCTCTTATAAATAGTAGGTTTAAATCCGGTACTAGTATATACTTATTCTTAGCTATATTAATCTTAATAATTTCTTTTATAATTAATTATAGAATTTTTATACCTGAGACTTTTACTAATAAGATTCCTAAAAAAACTAATTTTTTATTTAAGTATATCTTTTAATTTAGGAACCGGAATTAGAAAGAAACCGGTTAATAATAATAAATATAGTTAAGATTCGAGTTTTAGTATTAGTAATAATAAAGTAATAGCTTTTCTAGTCTTATTTCTATTATTTCTATTTTCTTTCCTATTTCTTTAGCTTAATACCTATAGTATTTTTCCTTAATTTTATTAAACTAAATATATTTATTAATATTATTAAAGATAATAATAAAAATAATAAATATAATTTTACTAATTTTTCTAACTTTTCTAAATTCTTTTTTATTTCTTTATTTAGTATCTATTTCTTTTTCTAGAAGCTTCTCTAGTTTATTTATATAATTTCTTATTTCTGATTTCTTTTTAATTCTTATTTCCGATTTCTATTTACTATTTTACTTAAATTTAAGAGTATTTCCTCTTTTAAATATTTTTTCCGGATTTAGAAATAAGCTTTTCTACTAAAACTAATATTACCTTTATTCTAGTTTTTACTATAACTAAAAATAATATATAAATTAATAATATAACTTTATTTCTAAATATTAAAGTTTATTTCTAACTAAGGTCTAACTTATATTATCTTAGTATAATTTTTCTTATTCTATTTCCTTTATTTCTTTTTCTTTTATAATTAGCCTCTATTTTTACTATTTTTATATACTATATTAATAATTATATCTTATAGCTAACTTGTATCTAAATTACTAGATATATTAGAAATTAATATAAGATATTAAGATTAATACTTATATATCCTTAATATTTTGGCCTTAAACTCAAGGTATTATAATAGTTCTTTTTTTCCCTAACTTACTAAACTAATAATCCGCCTTATAAATACTTTTTAGAACTTTATAAAAGTATTACCTTAATTATAAAGTTTCTATTCTCTCTATATTACTTATTATAAAATATATAGGAAGGAAACTATAATAAGACAAAAACCTATATAAAGTATACCAGAATACAAAACGTAATTTAATAGTAAAATAATAAATTAAAAGTATAAATAGTAAAATATAAATAGTATACTATATATAAAAGCTTAATTAATTAAATACTTATAAAGAATTATTCTCTAAATTTATAGAAAAACTAGCTTTCTTATATAATTTCTATAAGTTATATATAAAAGGCCGCAGCCTTTATTATATAATCTAAATCTCAAAACCGCTAAAATAATATAATTTTTAATAAGTATAGCCTGCTATACTATAATATACTCGTTTATTTAGCTACTTTAATTACTATTATTACTTAAAAAAGCAAACTAGCTAGTAGAATAAATAAATAGAACTTGTAATAATTATATTTTAGATATATACTTTATATATACTTTCTTTATATTTTATAAATATAAACTAGAAGAGTTCGGGTTAGTTTCGAGCTTAAAAGAGGGCTTAGGGTTAGGAATTAGGGTTCGGGTTAGCCCCGGGGGTTTAAAAGAATAGTAAAAGCTTTTTATATTAGAATATATTAAAATATAAAGGCCCTATAAATTAGGGTTAGTATATTATAAAAAGGAAACTATAATAAAACAAAAACCCATATAAAGTATATTAGAGTATAAAAGGTAACTTAATAGCAAAATAATAAGATTAAAAGTATAAATAGTAAAGTATAAATAGTATATAATATATAAAAGCTTAATTAATTAAATATTAAAAAGAGATTATTCTCTAGAATTATAGAAAAACTAGCTTTCTTATATAATTCCCGCAAGTTATATATAAAAGGCTATAGCCTTTACTATATAACTAAAACCTTAAAATTACTAAAATAATATAATTTTTAGAAAATATAACTTATTATATTATAATATACTAAGTATATAAGTTTTATATATCGAGTATATATTATAAATAATAGTAATAGTAAAGCAAAATATATTCTAACTTATTTATTATAGGCTAGGCCTTTATATAAAGAAAACTAGTAATTTAATTAATTAAATAGAATTCTCTAAAAAGAAAAAAAAGAGAAAAAACAGGAAAAAGCAAAACTATATTCCTTAAAATATCCGAGCTTTTTAAGTAATATATAATTACTCTATTAATTCAAGGAGATATATTATATAATAAAAGCTCTAGCCTTTATTATATAATTTAGTAAAGGCTTTTAGCCAAATATATAAATCGGATTTTAATCTATTATATTATTTCTCTTTTTATTTATAAATACCGGTTCTATAAATATATAAATAAAGTTTTTTTTTATTAAATAATTTCTTTTTAAGCTTCTAATACTATTATTTTCTTAAATACGAAATATAGTTCTTATATAAAGTATATATAATTCTTCTATTTTATAAATAGCTTTTTTAAAAGCCCTTAATTATATTTTATATATTTTTCTTATTAAGAATTCGTTTAATTTTATATTTATATTTATTATTTACAAGTTATAGTTATAGCTATAAGTTATCTTAAAACTAATTTAGTAATAAGTCTATTATAATTAGCTAAAAAAGCTTATTATAAAATATATTATATATTTCTAGAAAAATATTAAGCCAAAAACTATAGCTTTTTATTACCTTAACTATTATATATTTAGTATATTTTATATTAAGCTTTTTAATTAGCTTATTTATCTAGATATTCTAGAGATTAAGCTAGACTTTATTTCTAATCTTAAATTCCGAAACCTGGTTTTTTTTCTAATTTACTATTTTCTTTTAAAATTATTAGACTATTACTATTATAGTTTATATATATTCTCGTATATTATAAAGCCTATATATAATATTATCTATTATTTAAATAAGTAATAATCTCTTGCCTTTTTTACTAACTTTATTCTAGAACTATATTAGCTTAATATAATATTTATAAAATAGAAAAAATAAGCTAATTTCTATAAATAAAATATTTCTATTATTAATTACTAGCTTAATATATAATAAGAAAGTTATTTAGTTTTCTTAATTATAGTTTATAAAAATATAAAAAAAGGTTTTAATTATTTAGTTTATTTTTTCTATAAACTTATTTATTTCTAAATAATATATTATAAATAATTAATAAATAATATCTAATAATTTATATATTCTAGTCTATAATACTTCTATAAACTATTTCTTTTAATTAGAAACTATTATTCTCGAAAGCCTATATTAGTAATAATAAATTCTTATAAACTATTTTATTACTACTTTAATTATAATATTTATTATAGCCTTAAGTATTACTTTTTTTTCTAGATAATTTATAATAATTATTATATTAATATATTCTTTATTTAATAAAATTTTTATTATAAAATTAATTGAAATATTTTACTAAATTTAATTTAAAATAAGAAAAGGCTTTAAAAACCTTTAATAATAATTTCTTTATATTTTATTTCTTTTATTTCTTTTATAGTTCTATATAAACTAGTATATTTATTTTAATATATTTAGCTAAAAGAATTATTATATAAGAAAAGTACTTATAATATCTTATTTTAGATACTTATATTAGATTAAGTTATAGGTCTATTAAATTAGCTTTATATAAAGCTTTTTTAAGTTAGAAATCTATTATTATTTCCGAAAAAGAAATTATTTTAATTAAAATAATAAATATTTTTTTATTAATATTTTAACTTTTAAATTAATAAAGAATATTTATTTTTCTTTTTATATTATTTTAACTATAGCCTAATATAGTATGTTTTTTTCTTAGATATTATACTAAAGCTTTAATAATATATTTTAGGTATTATTTTTTATTTATTATTATTTTAGTTTTTATTCTATTTTTAGTTTTTTAAATTTAGCTTAGAAAGATTTTTTTATTTTAAAAGAAGTTTTATTTTATTTTCTCTATTTCTTTACTAATTTATATTTATAAGTTAGGCCTTTATATCTTATTAGTTTCCTAACTAAGAATTTTTTTCTTGGTTTTAATTTTCTAGGCCGGATTTAGGAAACCGAATAGGCCTTTTTTAAATTTATTTTCTTATTTATATTAGTATTATAAGAATTGAGTTTTTAAAAAAAATTATTAAGGGTCTTTGGCTTTAATAGTTATAATATTCTAGACTATTAATAGTTATTTTCTTTTTTACTAAAAAGATTTTCTTCTTGCCTTAAAATTATATTTATTTATTTATTTATTATTATTTTTTAAAATATATAAAATCTTGAAATTATATTATAAAAGAATTAAGAATCATTTTATTTATTATTTAATAAGTTTCTATATTATTATAAAGTATTTCAGGTTTTTATAATTTATTTAAATCTCGAATTAATAAATACTTTTTAATTTTATATTTTATTTCTTTATTATAAATCTTATAATTATATTTTATAGAATTATTTTTCTTTAAAAATATATATAAGATTATAGAATATTCTTTTTATTAATTTATATAAGAATACTATTTATATTTTATTTAAAGAAATTTATTTCGAGAATTATTTCCCGGTTATAATTAAACTATATTAGTATTAGAGTCAAAATAAATATTTTCTTAAGCTTTTAGAAAATGGTTTCTATTTTATTTATTTATAAGAATACTCGATTCTTATATATAAGATTAGATAGTAATTAAATAATTTCTAAGAATTCTCGAATAAAATATTAATAGAAATTAGTAAATTTTAGAAAACTCTATATAATTTTTACTAACTTCGGGATTTCTTAACTTAAAATAGCTTTAATATTTACTAGATTTATATAAATACTCTTTTTGGCCTTTATAATAAATTTCAAGGATTTTATTAATTTAATTTTAATTTTAAATTTATTAATATCTAGCTATAGACTTGTTTTTTAAAGTTATTAGAGAATTCTTTATATATATTTATAGTATTTTTTCCTTAATTCTAATAAATAAACTAGAATATTATTTATATAAATAGAATAAAACTTATTTAGAAAATCTATAAAGGCCTAATTAATATATTTCTGAAATATATTCGGGATATTTATTAGACTAAAAAGAATTACTAATTATTTATAGAATTTATACCTTATATAAAAAACTATTTTTTATTTATTTCTTTTAATAATATAAGTCTTTTAAAAAGCTATTATAATATTAAGCTTTATAAATTATTTTACTTTTCTAATATTTTAAAGAATCTCATAAATTAATAGAAATATATACTAGTTCTTTTTTATAAGCTTATTTAGGCCCCGGTAGTTTATATAAAACTATAATTCCCTATTAGGTTTTTATATAAAAAGAATAGAAATAATAGTAAAAAAATAGCTTATTTAAATAAATTCCTTTTCTAATAGTTCCGTAAAATCTTCTATAATATTAGAAGCTTATTTCGAGATATATTATATAATAGGCCCTATAATATAATAGATTTCTTTCTATTAATTTTTTTTAATTTAATCTAGTAATTAATTTCCTAATTTTAAATAAATAATAACTTTTTTATTTTAATTAGATAAAATATCTTTTAGAAGCTCTTATATTATTCTAGAAGCTTTATATAAAAATTAGTTCTATTTTTCCGAATTAGAGCTTTTTAAATATTTATTAAACTAGTTAAGAAAACTTTTATATTTCTCTTTTTATTTCTCTTTATTAAATAAAAGAATAAGGCTATTAAAACTTATATATAATTTATTTATTTTATTCTATATTAAGGTTACTAATAATAAAATAAATAGCTTTAATCTCGAATTATAAATTTATATATTCTATAAATAAAGCTATTATATATTTAAGATTATATCTAAGCTAGAAATCTTAGGAATTATATTAAGAAAAATATAAGATTTATAATAGCTATTAATATTTATATTAAATACTATTATTTTATTAAAAGCCTTTATTTATTTAGAAATAATTAGTATATACTAGAGGTTATATTAATTAATAAAGTAAGAATTAATTATTTTATATAATATATATCTAATATTAATAAAGGTTTATATAAAATACTTTTTATTAACTATTACTAATATAAGAAAAAAAAGTCTAATTATATCTTTCCGGAATTATTTCTAAGCTTATTAATCTAAGCTTATTTCTATATATTTTTAATAGCAATTTTTATTAGAAGCTAGTCTTTTTCCGAATTAGATATATTCAAGTTCTTTTTATTTTTATTTTTATTCTTATTCGAGATATTAATATTTTTTTCTTAAATTACTTTTGTTTTTTTAGGGCTATTCTTAATATTTTTATATTTTTTACTTTTATTTTTAGCTATTTATTTTTAATTTTTTAATTTTATTTACTAGCTCGAAAAAAGAAATTCGAATATAGCTTTATTTAATAATTATATATAAAATAGTTATTTTAATTATACTAAAAATAAAGTTTTTTTTTCTTTTATTAATTAATTTTATTTCGAGAGGCCTAATTAGAAATATTCTTTAATTATTATCTTATATTACTTATAATAGGCTTCTATTTTATTAGCTAAATAAATAAAGTAGCTCTAGACAAAAAAGGGCTTTTAAATCTCTTATTTAACTAATTCGGATAATAAAATTTTATGTTTTTGATTTTAGCTAGCTAGTTATTAATTATTTATAACTAGAAGTAATATTTTTTATATAATATTTTTTAAATTTTTTTTACTATTTCTTTTATAAGTTTAGTTATAATAGTAGTTTTAAAATATCTTTTCTTAATCTTATTTTACTATTTCTATTTCTTTATTTCTAGAATTAAGTAATTAAAATCACTTAAGAATTTATTTAAAGAAATTAATTTTTACTAAATTTAGTTTAATTTTTCTAGGGTTTTCTATTATTTTTATAAGTTATAAAAGGCTAGATTTATTTATTTAAATAGTTTTTTAATTATAAATTTCTCTTTTTTCTAGATATATCTTAGCTATAAATATATCTAGCTTACTATTTCTCTAAATAAATATCCGAATTTATACTAAATTCTTTCTTTTTTTCTACTAATTATCTTTTTATTAATTTCTAGCTTTATTTATAAGAGTTTTTTAAAATAGAGATATAGAACTAAGTTATTTCTATTAAACTTATTAGAATTTGAAAAGTAGGCTTTTAGTTATCTTATAAAAGAAAATTAGAGAAATATATAAAATAGAAAGAATATTTATATTTATAAAAGATTTGAAATTATTATATATTTATTAATTAATTTAATTTATATAGCCAGATTTATTATTAAATTTACTTATTATATTACTACCTCTAATAGCTATTAGAACTATATTATAAAGGCTTTCTATATTTATTAGAAGGCTTTATTTACTATTTTAACTTTATATAGCTATTTATTTATTTAACTAATTATTAGAAGTCTTGCTTCTAAATCTTTATATAATAGAAGAATTTAGTAGTTTTCTTTTTTTAAGCCGGATTTAGGAAAATCCAGATAATTCCTGGTATTAACTAGCTAAGTTAATACTCTGGCTTTTATATATAATTTCGGATATTTTCTATTACTAGCTTTTATATACTTTAAAGTTTTACTAAGGCATTGGCTTTATAAGTAGTTTTAAATAGAATTTATTTTTAGCTTTATCTATTTTAAGCTTTATTTTTTATATATAGATTCGAGTACTTTTTACTTCTAGCTTTATATATATATAATCTCTAGTTAGTAAAAATAAAAGAAAAAGAATTCTAATATTACGAGCCAGGCCTTTATATAAAAAAAACTAGTAATTTAATTAATTAAATAGAATTCTCTAAAAAGAAAAGAAAGAGAAAAAACAGAAAGAAGCGGAATTATATTTCCTAAAATATTCGAGCTTCCTAAATAATATATAATTATTTCATTAATCTAAAGAGATATATTATATAATAAAGGCCCCGGTCTTTATTATATAATTTAGTAAAGGCTTTTAGTTAAGTATATAAATTATATTATTTTAACTCGTTATATTACTTATATATTTTTAATAATAGAAATTAAATATATACTAAATATATGAGTTTTATATATTAAATATATATTATAAATAATAGTAATAATAAAGTAAGATATATTTTAATTTATTTATATACTATTTCTTAATAATAAAAGTTAAATATATATTAGAAATATATTTAATATAATATAATAAGCTATATTTTCTAAAAATTATATTATTTTAGTAGTTTTAAGGTTTTAGTTATATAATAAAAGCCGTGGTATTTTATATATAACTTATAGGAATTATATAAAAAAGCTAATTTTTCTATAGTTCTGAAAAATAATTTCTTTTTAATATTTAATTAATTAAGCTTTTATATATTATTTATTATTTATACTTTATTATTCATATTTTTAATCTTATTATTTTATTATTAAGTTATATTTTATATTCTAGTATATTTTATATAGGTTTTTACTTTATTATAATTTCTTTTTTATATATTTTATAATAAATAAAATAAAGAAATTAAAACTTTATAATTAAGGTAATACTTTTATAAAGTTCTAAAGGGTTTTTATAAGGCGAATTATTAGTTTAATAAGTTTAGAAAAAAAAGAGCTATTATAATACTTTAAGCCTAAGGCTAAAATATTAAAAATATATAAGTATTAATCTTAGTATCTTATATTAATTTCTAATATATTTAGTAACTTGAATATAAATTAGCTATAAGATATAATTACTAGTATAATATATAAGAATAATAGAAATAAAGGCTAATTATAAAAAGAAAAGAAATAAAATAAGAAATATTATACTAAAATAGTATAAATTAGACTTTAATTAGAAATAAACTTTAATATTTAGGAATGAAATTATATTATTAATTTATATATTATTTTTAGTTATAATAAAAACCGGAATAGAAATAGTATTAGTTTTAATAAAAAAGCTTATTTCTAAATCTAAAAAAGATATCTAAAAAAGAAAATATTCTTAATTTCAAGTAAAATAATAAATAGAAATCGGAAATAAGAAATTATATAAATAATTTAGAGAAGCTTCTAGAGAAAGAAAAGGATACTAAATAAAAAGAAAAAAGAAAATTCAGAATAGTCAGAAAAATTAGTAAAATTATATTTATTATATTTATTATTACCTTTAATAATATTATTAAATATATTTAATTTAGTAAAATTAAAGAAAAATACTATAGATATTAAGCTAATAGAATATAAAAGAGAATATAAATAATAGAAATAAAACTAGAAAAGCTATTATTTTATTATTACTAATATTAAAACTCGAATCTAGATTATATTTATTATTATTAACTAGTTTCTTTTTCAAATTCCGGTTTCTAAACTAAAAGATATATTTAAATAAGAAATTAGTTTTTTAGAAATCTTATTAATAGAAGTTTTAGATATAGAAATTCTATAATTAATTATAAAAGAAATTATTAAAATTAATATAGCTAAAAACAAATATATACTAATATCGGATTTAAATCTATTATTTATAAAAGCTTCTGAAATATTATAGTTTTAGAAAAATAATATTTCTATATTCTTGAAATAGTATATAGATATATATAAGAACTATTATATTTCTAATAATACTAAAAAAGAAAGAATTATCTATTATATTTCTTTTATTTATAAGAATTAAATTAAGGCTATACTAGAATATTATATTAATAATTTAGGAAATTACTAAAAAATTAAGTTTTTTAAGGCCTTATTAAAGGAATTCCGAAAGTATAACTAGGAGATATTCAAAATTAGCTATAATTTTCTTAATTAGATTATTATATAAGCCTAGAATAAAAAGATCTTTTCTAAGTTTTATATTAATATATTTAATAAAATATTAAAAAAGTTATTAAAGAAAAAAGAAATAAAAGAAATAATTTAATATTAAGAATTTATAAAAGAATTATCTATTTTAGTAAAAGATTATATTTTTAAGAATATAAACTTTAAATCTATAAATATTTTTATTTATAAATATAATAAAATATAATAAAATATAATAAAATATAATAAAATATAATAAAATATAATAAAATATAATAAAATATAATAAAATATATAAAATATATAAAAAAAATAAAAAAATTTCATTAATAAAAAAAAAGAAATACTATTTTAATATTATTAATAATTTTAATATATTTAGATTTAAATAAGAATACTTAGATATAATAGTTTATAATATAGTTTCTAAGCTAGAAAATAATTATTTTTTATTAGTTCCTTCTATTATATTTCTTAAAGCTATTATAAATATAAGTAAAAAAAGAATTTAGCCTATAGCTAATTATATAAAACCTGTTAAAAGTAATAAACTTAAAAGAAATAATATTAATTAACTAGTAAAGAATCTGGAAAAACTATCTATTACTATTATAACTTAAAAGAACTTATAAAAAGAACTTAATATAGCTATTATTATAATTCGAGAAAATATTTATAGCCTATTTATATAATTTAGCTAATTATAGTAAATATAATAGTATTAATAGCCTAGTAAATATAATTCGGGGTTTTAAAAAAAATATATTAGAAATTATAATAGAGGTTATAAGAAATACTATAATAGCTATAATAATTAAACTAAAATAAATAAGGGATTTAAATAATTATATTCTAGAAAAAATTAGTCTTAAATATAATTAGAGAATACTATTTAAGTTAATATAGCCTATAATATAAACCTAAATTAAAAGAACAAATTTGTTATAAATATTATAATAGAAATAAGAATAATAATATTAATTTAAAATATATTTATACTTTTTAGTTCTATTATCTATTAATAGAAAAGCTTATAAATTATAGATATATTTATTAATTTAATAAAAAATAATATAAAGGGCTATTTAAGCCTAGATAAAAAAGCTTTTCCTTTTTTTTATTAATAAATATTAGTAGTTTAATTAAATTATTTCCTAAGTCTAAAAAGAAGAATTCAATTATAATTTAAAAGTATAATTTAAGAATATTTAAAGAATAATAGAAAATATCTAATTTACTAGATAAGAAAGAAATAAGGAAATTAGCTAACTGGAATTTATATATAAAAGTAAATAAGTTATATTTAGAGAATCTAAATAGCTATTTTGCCTTAAAGAAAATTATATTAGAATTACTAATATTTCAGGTTCTGGAATTAATAAATAGTATTAAAATTTAATTATAAATAGTATTTCTATTAATACTATAATAGGTTTTTTATTAAAAAGAAAAAAAATAGAAATAGAAATAACTAAAGAGGTTTTCCAGAAATAAATAAAATGAATTAGAAACCTAATATACTCTTAGCTATAATAAGTATAGGATTTCTGAAATTAATAATATTCTAATAAAACTACTAAAAAAAGTAATTATTTTATTTCTAAAGATTTAGAAAGAAATAAAAATACCAAATTTAGCTATTATATTTTAGAACTAATAAATTAAGAATAATATTCTTTATTTTATTATTTTATAAATAGGAACTACTATTATATTAAATATAATTAAATATATTAGGAAATTTATAAAACTAGTAATTATAACTTATATAATAGATAGAATATTTAAGGAATTAGAAATACTAATTCAGATATCTAATACTAATAAGATTATTTAATTTAAAAGTAATAGTATTAATATTTGAATATTACTAGCTTATAAATATATTATTATTAGTATAGCTATTTCTCTAGAAGTCACATATATAATTACGGGATACGGAATACGGGATATAGGTAATAGGTAATAAGATATAGGTAATAGGATATAGGATATAGGATATGGTTATATAATCTCGTATCTTATTAGTAATTCGACTAGTAAACTAGATTCCTTTAGGCTTAGCAGATTTAGGGATTATATATTAATACTATAATACTATAATCCCTACTTCTAAATAATAACTTTACTAACCTTATATAAATAGTACTTTCACGCATATATAATAGTGCTATATATTTCTAGTAAACCGATACTAATTAGTTAGTACTTATAGATTAGGAAAAATTAAGCTATACTTACCTAAGATTCGGTTACTTAGGGGCAAAGCTATTATTCTAGTTAAAGAGGAAATAACTATTAATTCTATTACCTATAATTCGGTTATATAGGCAGGAAAGATACTTAATCTTACTAAAGCCCGATTATACTATATTAAAGAGGGAAATATCTATTAGTTCTATTACCTATAATTCGGTTATATAGGCAGGAAGAGTACTTAATCTTGCCAAATACCAAAACGGTTAGCTATTTGACTATCCTATTCTATTCTTATTTAACTCCTATAAAACCCTCTCAAAAACTACCTTCTTTTAAATCCCTGGGGCTCTTAAGCTTTAGAACTATTAAGTCCTCCCGGAATCTCGATATTTCACTTCTTAAATTTCACTTCCTAAATTTCTCATTATAGACGAAATTTTTACCTCAAATATAATACTTACTATAAACTATTTATCTTATAAACTATCCTCCTTCTTATAAACCTACCCTCCTTACAAACTACTATATCTCGAACTAGATATAAGCCTACGGAATATATAATAGCGGAATATACTATAGTAAATAATTCCTTTATTAGATCTATCTAATCTAATTACTCTATAGATAATAATAATTTCAAGAAATTAGTAAGAAAATAGAAATATAGGATTAACCTAAACTTTACTAAAGTAAATAAGATAACTAAGTTCTTAGATACTAAGCTATTTTAATATATTCTCTATAAAATAGTTAATAATAACCTTTGAGAGCTATTTAGATATAACTTTAAAGACTTTACTTATTAAAGAAACTTTAATAAATTCGAACTCCCGGAGATATTATACTTATATAAGACTCTTTAGTATAGTAGTATATTTATATAATAAAATAATAGTATTAATACTATTATAAATACCTTATATATTATTATAAAAAAAAATTATATATATAATTAAATAAGAATATATTAGTAGCTAGACTAGACCTTATTAAGGAACTAATCCTATTAGGCTTTATTATTCTTATAAAAAATAAGTATCTAGAACCTATTATTTTTAATATTCTTATACTATTATTACCTCCTTTACTATTTCCTTTACTATTATATCCTATATCTCTACTAGATTTATATACTAGTATAAAAGCTCCAGAAATAAATAATATACTCTTATTACTACTATTACTATAACTATATTCAAATAACCCCTAATTTCCTTTAACTATAAGACTTATTAGGGAAGTCGCCAAGATTTATACTAAAGAATAAAAGTATAATAGATCTAATAGTAATTTTAACTATAAACTTACTATTTTCCTTAATATCTACTAATATATAAAGCTTTTATAAGAGGCACTAATATAAGCTTTTCCTACTATACTAAAGAGACTAGCTTAAGACTATTTCTATAATAACTAGCTCTCTTAATATATATATAAAAAAGCTTATATTAATATTTATAGCTTCTTTAAAGGCCCTAAATTCAAATATCAAAATTTAGACAAGTAAAATACTACTATATTAGCTTCTATAATAGCTAAATTTCCGGAAAAAATAATATTTGAGACTATTTAATTACTAATTAATGAACTATATTAATTATAGTATAGTCTTATACCTAACCTGCAAAATACCGAATTTCTTTATAATAAAATTATTACTTCTTACTAAGGCTTCCGGGTATATAAATACGTAATCTCAGACCCTTCTATAAATCTCGGCTAGTTTATTAATAAGCTCTAGTTATTTATTACTATATATAAGAGCAAATAATAAGCTAATCCCGAAACCTTCTTTACTAATTAATAATACTACTCTTAGAACTCTCCAAGCTATTATTCCTCCGGAAATCGTTAATACGGACCTAGCCGTAATTTCAGAACCCGTAATAACTATTTTAAGTCCCGTAATTATAATAATTATATCCTAAAGTCATATTTTATATATAAGAAACCCGAATACTACTTATAAAAGCATATACCAGAGAAATAAAAGGCTAAAAAGGCTTGATTTAGGAATAGAAATATCTATTAGTTTAGATCCCGAAATACCCGTAACTTTAATAAATACTTTAGTAATACTTATATATAGTATATTACTAAAGCTAAAGGCAAAAAGAGTAATAAGAATAATAAAAATAAACTAGTAAATAATGCTTTTAAGGCTTTATTAGTAGAAATAGATAAAGAAAAGAAATACTATCCAGATTCCTACTTTACTTTAATTAAGAGCTTTTTAGCTACTTCTGCCGCTTCTACTTTACTAATAACTATAGCTAATATTCTTATAAATAATCTCACTTCCCTTTCTCTTATATACTAGATAATAGGCAAAAACCATACCTTAAAGCCTATTAAATCCTTAATAAAAGATACCTAGACTTTTATAATTAATAGTATATTAAAATATAATACTTACTATTTTTATAAAGTTATAATTAATACTAGAGCCTCTAGATACTTAATTACTAGTTCTAACTAATTTCAAGCTCTCTAGTAAACTAATAATAGTATTAAACTTAATGAAACTATTAAAGATCAAGTTAATATCTAGTTTAGTATCGGATTTATATCTTTTATTAGATCTATAATAGTAAGTATACTAATTAGGCAAGTATAATTCTATATTATATCTTTAAAGATTCTATTTTTGCTTAGCTTAGCTAATATAAATAAGCTAGGGGTCTACTTTAATAATCTTACTAATTATCTTATTACTTTTACTAGAAAATATATATCTATAATATAATATTTCAGATACTCTTTCCTGTTTTAGAATACTACTCTATAAAGCTTTATTTCCGAATTCTTTACTTATAACTTCTGCTTTCTTATAAAAGTTAAATTATAATATTTATATTATTGTTTTAGTTATTTATCTATTAGTAAGCTTCGAAACGTACTAGAATAAGTAGGCTATAATATTAATATAGAAGCCCTTAAGTATCTTATAAAGTACTATAAGTAATACCAGAAATATAGCTAATTACCCGGATAATTCAAGTTTAATCTAAGAGATAATATTAGCTTTAACTATTCTATTATTATTAATATTTTCTATATTTCCGGTAAGCCTAT